AATGATCTCCCCGTGGAGATCCGGACCCTTACTACCCTCCCGGCCTTCTGCAAAGCCACCAAGTCCTGGCTGCTTGTGAAACATCCAGTCCCACAGAAATTGTGAATGTTGTGTTTTTTAAAGTGTTGTCTTTGTCTATTTATCCCCTTTCCCTGTCTATTGTCAGCCGCCCGGAGTCCTTCGGGAGTGGGCGGCATACAAGACAAATCAAATCAAAATCAATCAATTTATGTTCTTGTTACTTCATTTCCATTCCATATAAAATTGCCAATTGTTTTGCATGAATTATTTCTTCTTTCTGTTTCCATTGCCAAATCAATAAAGGCTCATTGCAGGTGAATAGTAAAATTCATGGTTCATGGTAAAAGTTAAGAAATTAATAATTGCGTAAAGTAAAATATATACTAATCAATAGGCACAATTACACAAGTAGAATAACAAAAACCCAACAAATCAATTAAGTTAATTTATTCAGTCTTAAGTAATTTCTGAAATATTAAAAGAGATGGGCAATCCTTAATTTCAACTAGACATTGCTCCATAACTTTTGTAATGGTTTGTGGGCAATACAAATCCTATATCCTAACTTTGGGGATAGGGTGCTCCTATGTCCTAAATATTTCTAGTGACCTAAATTCAGCATATAAAACTTTCACGTGAGTCCTGTCATCGCAGATGTCCACCTCATTAAAAAACGCAACCGCCACCTCTATCGATTCCAAGCTCGGGTTTTTTTTTTCTGATCACATAAACGTCGCCTCAAAACTACAAATCCCAGAAACCTTAGCGCAATACCTCTCCTTTCTTATCAGTCTTCCTATTAGCCGCAACAAATCGTAAAGCGGTTGCCACGTTCGAACAGACCAATGGATGCATGAAGAAAAGATGGGGGCGAACAAGCTGCTCTGGAAATAGCCAATTGTCTCTTGCGATTGAACGGCCTATGGGAAAGCAAAGCGGCAGATATGAAATGGCGACGGAATCGACTGGGAGGAAAAGTGCAGCTCGGCAAACCTATAGGTACAAGTCAGCGGCCATCGCAGATAAGGCGGCGTCCGGGAAAGTGCTGGGGGCGCTGAAGGTTGACGAGAAAGCTGTTTGGTAGGGTTTGATGTAGGAGCACGGTAGGGCATCTGAAAAGGATGTTGAGAGTCGGGTTCCGAAGGGACGAATAGACGTGGCCTGCGCGGTTGTTTTAGCGGTGTAGTAAAGCAGAAGTACATTTTCTTCTTCGTCCCTGCCAGTAATCCCAAAGGGGCTTTTTCAAGAGGCAACTGGACTTTCTGATTTTTCTTTTCGTCCAAGAAGCTTCTTCTGCAGCTCTGAAGAAGCTTCTTGGATGAGAAGTGAAACATCTTCAAGTCCAGTTGCCTCTTGAAAAAGCACCTTTGGGGCAACCATGACCTGGATGACTGAGAATCTCCATAGACACATATTTCAGAAATAAACTAAATGAGTTGTGTGCAAAAAGTGCTAGGTGATCCCTGGGGTCCTCAGATAAGGTTAAAATATTCTTTAATCAGAGAACTGCTAGTCAATGTCTGTGGTAGTACCAGTACAATTCTAGACTAAAATGCATGTGAGTAGGTTATGGCTCAGTGCATTGCATGAGCCCACCCAGTGTGGTTACTTTATGATTCAGTATGTTCAACAATTATACCACACTTTCATTAGAGTCCTGTATGATTTTATTCTCCCCAATAAGATGGACTGTAGCAGTGGCTGCACAATCCACTACAGTGCAAGCTTCCCTATTATCCAGTAGGAACCCAGGTGATGTGTTAGTTTGTCTTTACTTGTGTCATAGAAATCCAGAACACAGAGATAAATGGGTAAATCATAATTTGATGGATTGATAAGATGTGCATTGTTAGCTAGTTTCTTTTCAAGGAAATGAGATTAGCTGATTTGCCAATGCAATTTTTAAAAATAAAACAACTTCCCGTGTGGCAGTTGAATTATTACTTATAAAATTATGTTTTATAACTATGCTCCCTGAGTGTACATCCATTTTTCTGAGACACAAACTTGCTGTATCAAAGGGGACGGGGAAGAAGGTGGAAGTATTTTCTTCTATTGTTTTGATCACCCTTTCCTAGCCAGTTACCCTCAAAATATGCTACATGATCTTTAAACTCAGCCAATGTGATGCTTGAGTATAATAAGAATCATATATGAATAGGACAGAAAAGGATAAAACTATTTTGGTACCTGAAGAGAAAAATAGCTAGGGTTTGAGATAATTTTGGGTGACCAGTAGATTTGGGAGTTAGAGAGAAAGATTCTGAGTGGTTCAAGATAACAATATCACTAGCACTTAGATTCATATGCCACTTCATAGTGTTTTACAGCTCTTTTTAAGCAGTTTACAGAGTCAGCATATTGCCCCCAACAATCTGAACCCTCATTTTACCAACCTTGGTAGGATGGAAGGCTGAATCAGCCTTGAGCTGGTGAAAATCAAACTCTGGCAGTTGGCAGAATTAGCTTGCAATATTACATTCTAAACGTTGTGCCACCATGGATTATAGTTCTTCTAGCAGAGCAAATACAAAATGCAAGTATAAAGATGTTAATTGTACTTAAAAAGTCAACATAGTCAAATTATATTGCTATTATAAGAAACTTATTTAGATAAGTTTTATTTGTGTAGCTTTGAGAACCCCTCAAAATGATAAAACAAAAAAAATAAAAAGGTATGAGTTAGCTTATATTTAGTTGTCTCATTAACCATGGCACAAAAACTTGCTAGTGCCATAGCCATTTTTAAAAGACATATTCTTATGACTGTCTTGTTTTTATTATCACATTGTTTATTGTTTGTTTATTAGTATCAGAAGCATCACAATTAAAATAAGGATACTATATGACATAAAATTTAAAATATAAAATACAAGATTAAAATATATACAAATTCAACAGATCTTGCCCAGAAACTAGTAATATTAATTCCCGGATGGATTACTGTAGCGTAGGATTGCCTTTAAAGAGCATTTAGAAGCTCCACCTGGTCCAAAATACAGCAGTTATAGGCATTTTTGTATATTTTTTATAAATACATAATAATGTCTGTTTGTGAGCTGCACTGGCTCCCAGTGCAATTTTTGGTGCATTTCAAGGTGCTAGCTGTCATCTATAAAGCCTTACATGGCATTGGGTCACCATATTTGCAGGACCATCTGTCACCTATCATTTCTGCTCAGCTTATCAGAACTGGTAGGGTTGGCATGTTCCAGGTCTCTTCTATTAGGAAATGTCATCTTCTGGGATTTGGGAATTGTGCCTTCTCTGTCAAAGTTTGCTCTTTGGAACAGCATCCAACCAGAGATCAGGAAGGCCCCAACCCTTCATAAGGCATTAAAAACCTAGATATTCTCTTAGGTTCTGGGACCAGGCAGTTAAACCAGCCCTATATAGAACATTTCAGGTGTTTGTGGGCTACTTTTTAAAAAACATTTTGCATTCTTTCAGAAGAATGCTAGCTACATTTTAAACAGTTCTACAAAATAAAATTATATTTAATTTCTATAAAATTATAAATTGTAAGATAGTGGGAATGAGCTGATGTCATCTGATACCTTGGCTCCCTTTGAATGCACCAATGGAAAATGCTCCATAAAACCAGAACAAAGTTTGCCGCCTCCTCAACATTGCTCTGTGTTAAAGAGAATGATTGGTTATAGCTTGCTGCATAAATTATTAAAAGACATCTAGTTATGAAGCCAATCTAATCTGGTTTTTGTTCATTTGTCCTTGAACTTGGCTTCCTTTCTCTATCGGATAGGATCCTATATCCTCGAGGATTTTACTCAAGGGCCATCCTCTTCTTGATAACTTGAGCAAATCCTTAGCTTGCTAACTCTTTAGTCAAACATGTCTATGAAAGCAAATATACAGTTGTTTATCTTTCTTCCGCTTCTCATTTCTTTCTTTTTAGTATGCAAATGGAAATGGACAGCTCACATTCTTCCTTACCTTTAGATAGTGTATGACTGAATTGTTGGAAAAGAGTTCTGACTTTCATTAGTGTTAGTAATAATAACAGCATATTTTTGTGCGAGGGAGTGTTGCTGATAAAGTGACCTTTCAAAATTACAAAGTCTAGTAATGTTTAGCATGGAATTTAGTAGAGAGTTAGGGGCTGCTCATATTATGAAATTGTTCACCATAAAACAGGAATGAGATTATAAAAGCAGACGGCAATGCACCACAATCCAGTTTATTATACGTGATTGACATTTTCAAACAAAACATATCGCACTCTGAAGATTAATTAGGCTGAAGACATATAAGAGGTAAAAAAGAGGTGAAAACTTACAACTCACTTTCATACATCAAGAAAAATTAGAAATAATAAGGAAATATTTTTATAGAAAAGCCTTATAAGAGTTGGCTTCATAATCTAGATATCAAATGAGGAAGTCATGAAATAATTTTTTAAAAAGAGAAGATAAAATCAAGGGAATATATAGAAATCTTGTGTTAAGCTTAATACTAGATTCTCCCCCCCAAAAATGGACAATTGAAATGGTAAGCTCTTCAAGGATGCGGTCTACTCTCTAGTATTCTGTAAAGTTGGTTGATCTGAGTTCTGTTCTGATGCTAACGAAAGTTTATTTGTTAGAAGGGGGCCAACAAATGAGTCTTTGTCTTGTTTATTGTGTGTGGAATTTGCATAGGCTGCGTTGGAGCAGGCAGTTCTATTTCTGAAAACAAGGAATGAGTTCTTCTCATTACATCTCTGCTTCCCAATGCCGCGCCAGAAACTTTCAGCACTTGTGTAAGAGATTTGTCTTTTCTATTGTTTCAGAAATAGTGGCTTTAAGATTTCCTGGAAATTAAGAATTGAAAGTCCTCAAATAGGCAGGCATATGCTAGCTATTAACTATGCCTTGAAAATTGGTTAGGGTTTCTTTAAATTCTAGAACATGAGGAATGAGAGTTTGAATAGGTGACAGAGATGCTATGCAGACTTAGCAGTTTTATTGGGGCAAGACATTAACATCACATTGGTCTTCCTTAAAGGACTTGTTGGGTCTATGATTAGCTTATAAGTCCATATTTATGTTGTCCTGCCTGGCTAGCACATGTTAAAACAGTGCAATGGAGAAAAGTATGAGGTCAATCAACATTCATTCCCCAGCTGCTTAAACTGAAGGGCTCCATCTTGTTTTCAGCTTGTTAAACATATCAAACGGCAGGGTTTCTTATGAAGCAGTGCTAGAATTACATTATTCTTGGCAGCTTACTTGTTCAGGGATGAAGAGAACTGTTCTTTTCTGTGGCTTACTGTTTTTGGAGTGATTTTGACAACGTCACTGCTTGGATGATTTCAGATTTAATTAGCCCCTTAAATCCCAGGCTGGGACTGCAAAAGGATATCTATTGCGATTTTTCACAGTGGCAAATATTGTCTATCTAGGATAGTTCTGAATAATTTTGATAAAAATATTCCACTATGTTGGACTATTGGAATTCTCAAAAAAGGGGTAAATTCAATTGACAGTTTTTACTTTATGCATTGTATATTTCAGAAACTCTTTGATTTTTATACAGCATATAACCTAACAAATGATACTTACTTTTCCTCTAAGAAAAGAACTGAATTATATTTCTACTACATGCTTCCCTAATATTACACCCATTAAGAGCAGGAAGTACCATTTGATATCCACAGGATGATACTGTACTTTGGATGTTACTCTGTTCCACGCTAACTCTGTTCTGAATAATTTCCAAATGTTTGTACTGTTTTAGAACATTATTTTTGTTAAAAATGTTTCTATGCTTGCATCATTTTTTTATTAAAACCTGAATGAAAGCCTTTTTAAAGAATAAATCATAAATTTAATTGTCTCTATATCAGTTAACATATGACCTATAATTGCCCAAGATGATCAATTGCACAGTTTGTTGTTTATCTTGAACAGAGATTGTGTATTTCTTTGGAGTAGTATAACATGCAAATCATTGTAGTTTCTCTGCCGTGCAGCCAGCATGATTAGTATTCTGATTTGTTGCATATTGCAGAAATGGGCAGAATGGTGTCCTTAAAAGATGTGCAGATTATTTTGAAACATCTCTACAGTTTAAACTGTAAACCATTTTAATTTGAATGCCTGCATGGCTAAAGATTATTGCTATATTGTATACACGTATCTCTCATAAAGTAATGCTTAACTGTCTTCCACAGTGATGCCATTTGCAGTTTTGTTATCTGCAATGAGTCTTCCCTTCAGCGGCATCAAATCATCTTTAATCCAGACTTCTTTGTGGAGAAGCTGAGACATGAGAAGCCTGAAGCATTCACAGAACTTGTGGTCAGCAACATTACCCGATTGATTGACTTGCCTGGAGCAGAGCTTGCTCAATTGATGGGTGAGGAAGAGCCCGCGTTGCCTGGTGGGCCTAGCATTTCCTCAGGTTTTTTCCGTTCCTTGATGTCTCTGAAACGCAAAGGTAAATATGATGTGTTTGCTAGTGCTTTCTATTGGCCTTCAATGATAATATGATATCATGGACTCACTTCTTTATAATTGGCAGTGTTTCCAAAGTAATGAATACTATTACTAGAGTTGTATCAGGAGTGCTGAAGTGCTTCCAGACTGAAAGGATTGAACGGTGACATCACAGTTGCCTAAGGGATGCCCAGTTGGGGATTCCTTTCACATCCTTGTTAAATTGCCCACCAATGTGGTATCTATTTACAGCAATAGCAGTTAGACTTATATACCGCTTCATAGGGCTTTCAGCCCTCTCTAAATGGTTTACAGAGTCAGCATATCGCCCCCACAGTCTGGGTCCTCATTTCACCCACCTCGGAAGGATGGAAGGCTGAGTCAACCTTGAGCCGGTGAGATTAGAACCGCTGAACTGCAGATAACAGTCAGCTGAAGTGGCCTGCAGTACTGCACCCTAACCACTGCGCCACCTCGGCTCCTATCTACTCGTGGTTACCTGTTTTCAAACAGGTTTTGTTTTCAAACAGTTTTTCAAACTCCTGAGTTGGCAGGAACTGAAATGTGTGACGGGAGCTCACCCCATCCTGCGACAGCAACTGTGTCTCAAACAACAATCATCAGCCCAGCATCCTAACCTCGTGAGCCGCTACAGTCAAAGAAATTGATGAAATAATACCTCCCCAGATATTCATACAGCTACTACTCTGATTTAAGACTGGCTCTTCTGTTACAGCAAAACCCACTTTATTAATAAACTTCCAAATTAAAAATTAGGGAAGTAGTGTTACAAAGATATCTATTACAGTCAATCCTTAGTTTTCGTTATGGAAATTAAAGAATGGTAATATTTCTTTTTAATATCAAATGATACAATTAAGAAAAAATAGTCAATATTGAAGGCGCTTCTAGGAGAAAAACCATCCTGTTCCTTATATTCTTAGAACAGGAGATCTCTAGTTCAGTGATACAACAGCTATTTTAAATACCGTATTTTTCGGAGTATAAGATGCACCTTTTCCCCCTTAAAAAGCATGGAAATGTTGGTGTATCTTATACACAGAATACAGCCATTTTTGGTCTTGTGAAGCCCTTTGCAAAAAATGGGCCGTTTTTTACAAAAATGGAGGCGCTTTCCCCTTCCTTCAGCCCCCAGGAACACTCTGCAGGCTTCAGTAGGGCTGGGGGAAGGGGAAATGCCCCTGTTTTCTGCTCATTTTTCACAAAAACGGGGGCATTTTCCCCTTACCCCAGCCCTACTGAAGCCTGCAGAGTGCTCTTGGGGGCCGGGGACAACAAAAACTTTTTTCTTACTTACCTCTTCGAAATCTTGGTGTGTCTTATACACCGGTGCATCTTATAGTCTGAAAAATATGGTATATAAAAGTTCAAAGAAGATAATCGGCTAGATGGAGAAAATTACAACCCAACAGCTATCTAATTCTTTCTAATACTAATCTAATAGGTACGCATGTTCATTCTACCTGCTATCCCATCAGTCTGCTTAAGAATCTCAGATGTTAACTGAGTTACTAAGTTTGGAAAAATGTCCAGATCTCAGACAGAGTTGTAAAACATTTTTGCATCTTGGACAAAGTAGCATTCTATATCTTTGGAGCTGAGCACTAATTGCTAACTTCTTGTACCGTTTCTTATAGATTCTTTTTAGTTTAGTATTTTAGAGAAATGTTTCTGTCACTTTAGAAAATGGGTTCTGCATTTTTATCCTCCATTCTTATCCTGTCTTATGGTTTGCTATGTTTATGGAATCATTGTCATCTAATTAGACTTCTTTCCAAACTGAATTCAAATATGCATCAATCTCTACTTGCAGTGAAATTAGAAGTTCCATTCTGTTCTCTCTCATAATATAATGACAGTCACATTTAAGAAATGACATTTTAGATTGCTTAAGTGATTTTTGAGTAGTCACAATATGCCTACAAATACTAACTAGAAAAAAATAATTTAGTTTTATATTGTAACAGTCATTTCTTAGACTAAACTACTTTACATGGGAATACTATTAAAGACCATCCAATAAGTGGTAGAAAATGCAGTGCCCTAGTTACTGATAATATTACCAGTATAATATTATGCATGTGTTTCTTACCCACCTCTGGTTATTTTTTTTTTTATTTTTTTTACAGTCACAAAAATATTTTATTATATCAAAAATGCCCTTCAAATAATGCTATGGCAAAATACTGTACTGGACTGCAAATGAATATGCAATAGCAATGAATGTTGAACCTTACCCACCTCTGGTTATTGACAGGTTTTCGGTCTAATTCAGAGTACTGACTTTGACAGACACCAAGTCATAAAGTGGTTTATTAGTACCTACATGACTAGTTTCTGCTATTTTTTATCAGCCGGTCTGTATGTTCTGTCTTGGATAAGCTTTGCTCATCACTCACTTTCTTGAAGAAATGGGGAATGGAGGTCTGGAACTGCAGTTTGTTCATTGTTGTTCTGGGCTTGTAGAATAGACTTCCCTGAGAATTAAGATTTGTTCCTTCCCTTCTAATGTTCCAAAAGTGATTGAAAGAGGAAGTTTTCTGATTAAAGAGCTTGTAATTACTATGTTTTATTTTAAAAAAAACATTTTTATCAGGAATTGAACTCAACTGGAGTACATGTGTATGTAGCTTCAGCAGCAGGTGGCAGCACCTGCTCAACCTTCTCCAGAATCCAAGCTAAATAGCTCAGGCAGAGTTAGACAATCAGAAGGTGAAAACTGGCTGTGAAGTTGAAAAACATCCCAGAAAAGGGCAGTGACAACCATTCCATACTGATGCTAAGGAAATTGCATATGTCTATGAAGTCATCAGAAGTTACTGTTGATTGGAAGATGGTAGTACAAATTTATTTTCATGCGACAAAATGGTAGGCTGGAATATATCTCAGTAACAGGAACTGATATTACTACTGGAACTAGCGTGGATACAAACTGTGAAGTATTTGGGGATAATGAAACGACTTAGAGGGAGAAGTAAATGGAATATTCAGGAAAAGAGTGCTGAAAAGAAGAAAATATACGTAGTGGAGGGTTGAAATGTATAAACTGCACAGATGGATGGAAAACCCCAACTCGTCCACCAACAGGGCAAGTTATTGTAAATAAACAGAGGACAAATCCATAGCCTTCTAACACTGAAGTTGTTGGTTAGTCTGGTAATGAAATGACTGCAAGCAAATAATCAAGCTGAAAGACCATCCAGAGCTCCAAGGAGCTCCACCTAAAATACATTTGTAACTATAAGTTATTGTGAATAGTAACATATAATTGAATCATGGCTAGTATGTACCAAAGATAAAATATGTGAGATCAGAGGTGAAAGTAAATAATATGGCAAAGAAGAATTGAATGAGAAATCATTTGTCTAGTTAGCTCAAGTATTTATTGTACTTAGCAGCTTGGCATATATTTATATTTCAACAATGTGATTCTCCCAGGATCTTTGAAGTATATAATAATGATTATACTTACTTTTATTAGATAATTCAGTGTGCTAACATTTGAAATAGTTTTTTTTTAATCAAGGTAGATTCTATCATATTCACACACACACACACACACACACACGTATCTTGAAAGCTCAAAATGACTTCATAATTCTCCTAACATCTGTAGGAGAGCCATATCATCTGCATGTGCATGCTTGTTTAGGTTTATTTACATAATCATTGTACATACATACAAGAGCCATGGTAGCGCAGAGGTTAGAATGCAGTCCCAAAGGTGCTTTTTCAAGAGGCAACTGGACTTTCTGGTTTGTGTTTGAAGATGTTTCGCTTCTCATCCAAGATGCTGAAGCATCTTTGGGACAACCATGACCTGGATGACTGAGAATCTTCATAGACAGTTAGAATGCAGTATTGCAGGCTAGTTCTGCTGACTGCCATGAGTTTGATTCTGACCAGCTCAAGGGTGACTCAGCTTTCCATTCTTCCGAAGTCGGTATCCAGGACCCAGGTTGTTGGAGGCAATATACTTTTCTCTGTAAACAGCTTAGGGCTGTAAAACACAATGAAGCGGCATATAAGTGCTAGTGCTATACTTGTTTTGTACCGGTAGCAATCTGCAAAAAAAAAACACATTTTTTTATGTTTTATAGAAAAAAAAATAAAACTAAAATAAAAAGCTTAAACATCACCATCTTTTTAATTGCTTTGCTTCCTATAATTTCAGTACTTCACAATACAGCCAAAAATTGATTAGATTTAGTTTTGTTTAATAGCAGCAAAGTATTCCTATAATATTTATTGGTTGAAGTAAGAAGAATATAAGTTTTATAATCAGAGCTATAAAGCACTGTTGTGGTACATTAAATATAGTAGCAAAATATTATGACAAGTTGTTTTGCTTTTCTGTGGTATCAGCACATACCCTTATGTAGTGAATGTTGGTTTCTACTGATATTATTTTAAGATGGTTCTTGTTCAAACTAATAAGTTGTTTGGATGCAGGGAACTTACGGTATATGAGATTGCCAGAGCATTTTCTATTTTCTATATATATATCAGGATACTCTCTTCTTCATCAGTTTCAAAATATTCCATGTGATCTAATCGTTAAGATTTTGGCCTAATGGATAGGCCTAATCTTGACTCTGTCTCTGAACATGCAGAAGCTGTTGGGGTAATAAATCTTGTGGACCATTTCAAATAATCTAGACTAGAGTAAGTTAATTTACTTTATTGTCATTGCACCTCGTACAATGAAATTAAATGCCATCTTCAGTGTACATTATACATAAAAATAAAACAAAAACACACATCCTTCACATTCTGTACAATTGAATTGAAAACCCCTGTTATAGCATTATGACTATACAGTAGAATTCAGTATAGTTACTGCTCTGGGATAGAAGCTGGGGTGGTGAAAATAGATTAAAATTCACATGTGGGTAACCAAAGTATTATTCCTAGCTATGATGCCTTTAGCAGATGACTAAGAATCAAGACCTGACCAAAGGTAAGCAAGATAGCATTTTTTCAAGTATACAACAATTTCAATTAGTTAAAATACTGAAAGTTGACCTAGAATGGCAAAGCATCTCTTATACACAGATGCAGCGTTTCTATGAATCCCAGATGCTGTGAACTAATATTCTATATATCAGTACACAGAAATACCAAATATTAGAAGTTGAATGTTAGATAGATGTTTATCTTGATTAGAAAAAAATATCTTGCTGATATTCTTTCATAAACTACACAGTGTGAACAAGACCCAGGCATAAATACAGACAAAAAGTATCTATTTTGTGACATAGCTTCCTTTATAGAAAACTAACAATATCTCTTTTCCAAACTGATGCCTTTTGCACAAATAATAAGAGTAAGGTTTTATTTATTTATTTATTTTGAAAATGGATACTGAGTGAACATATATTCTGCCCCAAGTTTTACTTCTGACATTTTGAGATAGTGAATAAACTGATCTGAGTTTCAATAAAACAGTTAATATTCCCTTTAATCATTTCCTCGTTGCTTTTTTGAATTTATAGAGAAAGGGGTGGTATTTGGAGCACCACTGACTGAAGAAGGCATTGCTCAAATATCTCAACTCATTGAGTATTTGCATAAGAGTAAGTAATTTTGAAAGTCCTTCTATATTTCTTAAGTTAGCAGTTATTAATCTTGATTTATAAAAATTTCCTACATATGCTTCTAAATCTGAACATTTTCTTCTCTCCTTGTGCAAATAGTTTCTATTTTATGTTTCTTTTGTTCTGGTAAACTAATAGTCCTAACTAGAAAATAAGAAAATCAATTTAAATGACCATTCTGTGATATAACATGAGAACACATCAGCTCAGCCACAAAAATGTATATACCGTAAATGAGATATGACAAAAGTATACAAAAGATAAATTAATAAAACTATGATTCTGTATTGGCTAATAACAAGTTGGAGGGAGTAAATATTTAAAAACAGCTTTTCATAATTTTCAGGACTGCTGCTTTCAAGTGCCATTGGAATAATAGGATTCAAGTGGACTCTCCCCAAATATTTGCACTCAAGAAAGACAATCTTGCTTTGTGAATCAAGTCTTGAACTTGAATTTAAAAATTTCCCTTCACTGCATTCAATAGTTCCTGTTGCTCTCTGTCCTTGGTAATCTTGAAGGCCCAAATATAACCAGATTATTTCTATTTGATTTTGTACAGTTCATTGACTCTTCTATTAGGACTCTGAAGAGATTTAAACAGAAGGAGAAAGGTGTGAAACGGGACATCATATCTTAGACTACAAAAAGCCAGACAATCACTTGACCTAGAATCTAGATCAAGATCTAGATTCAAAATTAGATCTAGATTCAAAATTAAGAATGGTAGCAATTACTGTATCTGGCATATGTTTAATACCTCTCCTATCTTGGTGCAGATTTACGGACAGAAGGCTTGTTCCGAGTGCCCGGAAACAGTACTAGGCAACAGAACCTGAAAGAAGCATTGAATAGTGGAACAGAAATTGACCTGGATTCAGGCGAATTTCATTCCAATGATGTGGCTACTTTGTTGAAGATGTTCCTAGGAGAATTACCAGAGCCTTTGCTGACTCACAAACATTTCCATGCACACCTTAAAATTTCAGGTAATCAACATTAACTAGGCAATTTTATCAGTTATATATTCTTTCCTGCAGGCATTTTTGAAAGAGCTCCATCTTTCAAAATATCCATCTTTCTAATTCATCTGGTTGTTGGAGGCACAATATCTCAGTGGCTTAATGATACTGGAAATGGTCTCAGCTCCAAGCAATACGTGGCAGGACAGCTCCTACCACGCACCTCAGCTTCTGTCCATCTCGCAGTTCGAAAGCATGTTCTATGCAACTAGATAGATAGGTATCACTTCGGTAGTGAGATGGCCTGGTGCTCTATTCAGGCAGTCAGATTCCTGATGGCTCTGAACCTTCCCGTTTGCAGTACCTGTTTGCGGGGCAGTTCCAGGAAGGGAGAGAGCCTTGGGTAACACTGCAGGAAGAGCCTCTCGCCTTTCTCTCTGGCACAAAGCCTCCTGTGACCCACCTTAGGAAGTGTGCAAGCATCTCCTATAACAGGGTTGGTACTTTTGCGAGCCAAACTACCACTCTGCAATATAATTGTGATTTCCTGGCCACTGTAACAATGCCATATACTACTAATAATAAGCTGGTGCTTTAAAAAGTTTGGAGACCTTGATATTTCCCTGTTCAAACCAATGACAAGGATATTTAAATATGAAGTTTGGGGGATTCTTAATAATCAGATTTTGAACATAAATAGTTTTAAGAATTGGATAGAATTATTGATGCCGCTGAAATTTCTTTTAATCAGCCACACTTAACAGACATTTCCCTGATTCCTGGATTACAGACTTGATGCAGTTTGATGACAAAGGCAACAAGACCAACAATCCAGATAAAGTGCGTCAGATTGAAGCACTGCAATTGCTCTTCTTGATCTTACCACCTGCCAATCGTAATCTGCTCAAATTGCTATTGGATCTGCTCTATCAAACAGCCAAGAAACAGGACAAGAATAAGATGTCAGCACATAACCTTGCTCTTATGTTTTCACCTCATATTTTGTGGCCCCGAAATGTAAGTATTCTGTTTCATATAACAGCAAAAAGGGAATTGTGGGGCAGGCTAGGAAGGATGGAATTGCTCAATAGTTTGACTGATGTAATTCAACATTAAAATAAACTTGCCTGTGATTTTACAACTCGCTTAACCTGTTCTCATTCTGCATCTGTTGCTAGGTGACTACCAGCGATCTGCAAGAAAACATTAACAAACTAAATAATGGAATGGCTTTCATGATCAAGCACTCACAAAAACTCTTCAAAGTAAGGTTACATAGAGAGAGGAACTAACCTCCAACTCTGTTGTCCTATTGCCATGATGGCGAACCTATGGCATACATGCCAGAGGTAGCACGCGGTGCCCTCTCTGTGGGCACGCAAGCCATCGCTCCAGCTCAGCAGCACCGCGCATGCGCACCTCCCACTGGCCAGCTGGTCTTTGGGTCTCTGCCGTGCAAGTGTGGGGTTGAACATGCACGGGACCCGTGTGCATGGGCAGGGTGCATGCGGTGGCGTGGCGTGTGCGCATGCACATGAGCCACGTACAGATTGTATTTTGGGGCTTTGGGTGTGCACGCATGCATGTGCGCTTTGGGCACTCGGTCCTGAAAAGGTTTGCCATTGCTGCCCTATTGTCTGAGGATATTACTCATTGGGAGAAAGTGTGTGCTATGAACAAACTATGAGATGATCTGCTTTTTTAGAGGTGCTGCTTTAGAGGAGTTACTTATTTCTGTTGCTGGGCTCTCTGGCGTTTACCTATTTTTACAATATTATCTTTCACATGTGGAATTTTAAAAAAATATTTACTACATGTGGATGCAGAATATACAGTAGGTGATATTCATTGTTATGGGTTTTTGATGAACCTCAACTCTGTATTTACTAAGCAGTTCTAAACCTAATGGTAGCAAGCAGTTATGGCAGTGTGAAGGGTGAAGAAAATATTAATTGTAACTGCCAACCATTTCTTAAAATTGGTAACCTCACATAACATTTCTGCTTATAAAAAATTAATTTATGATTTGCAATTAGGAAGACAGGCCACTTTTTCTATGCCCAATTGCTATACTAGCGGAAATAAAGTGAAGGAGAGAAAGTTGCAGATGAGCTGCAAAGGCATTGTGTGTGACCTATGGGTCAAAGAATTCCTTTCTTGACCATACTGGAATTATGTGAAAACTGATCTTCTCTTTGTGAAGAAGTACCGTATTTTTTGGAGTATAAGACGCACCTTTCCCGCCCTAAAAGAGCATGGAGATGTTCGTGCATCTTATACACCAAATACAATCATTTTTGGCCTCCTGAAGCCCCGCCCTCTGCATCCTATTTTTTCAAAAACCGACATGTTTTTGCCTTGCCCCTGCTCCCGGAGCGCTCTGCAGGCTTCAGCAGGGCTGAGGAAAGGCAAAAAAGCCTCCATTTTTTGAAAAAAATGGCCCTTTTCCACCCATTTTTTCAGAAAAACAGGAGCATTTTTGCCTTCTCCCAGCCCTGCTGAAGCCCGCAGAGTGCTCCTGGGGGCAAGGAAGGACAAAAATGTTTTTCCTTTTCGAAATCTTGGTGCGTCTTATACACTGGTGAGTCTTACACACTGAAAAATACAGTAATTGGAACCACTTCTGATATCTTTTACAAGGAAACGGTAACCAGAAGGATCCTTGGCAATCCCTGATCAGTTCCTGTAAACCAGTGGTGGTCAACCTGGTCCCTACCGCCCACTAGTGGGCATTCCAGGTTTCATGGTGGGCGGTAGGGGTTTGCTGTAACTCTGCTTTATAAATTTTATAAAGAAAAGTTACTTCCCTACTTTATAAATCACCATTACTGTGGAACTGGTGGGCGGTTAGAAAATTTTACTACTAACAGAGATACAAAAGTGGCCAGCAGGTATAAAAAGGTTGACTACCCCTGTTGTAAACCTATGTGTCTCTCTTGAGTATCAAGAGCATTTTGATTCATCTTTCTACTTTTTATCCCCATTTTCACTGTAAGGCTCCAGTATATATCCGGGAATATGCCAGGATACATTATTTGGACTCCAGAACTCATGCTTCAAAGGTAAGAAGTTGTGCCATCTTCTACAGAAGGAAGGATAGAACTTAGACATAGTCTGGACAGAAAACTGCAATCTGAAACAGGCTTCTTAATGATAACGGGAAATAGTGAGATTGGAGTGTTCTGGAGATCTATGTTTGGGGAAAAAAGGAATGGCAGAATTAAATTTTAGATTAAGCCTTTAGTTTATTATATAGTCTTACAAATTATGATATGATGGGTGACCTTTTTTTAATGGGTGACCTATCTGCATTTGGTGCTAAATTAAATATGAGAGATCTAATATACACATGACTGCCATCAATCATGTATGTATGGCGGCTTAGACAGTCTTTATAGGTTTGAGCCAATTTGGTGTAATGATTAAGGAGCTTCACTAAAAACCAGGATAGCATATTTTGTATAATCTAGGGAGGGAGAGAGAGAGAGAAATATAGAGAGAAAGAGAGAGAGAGAGAGAGAGAAATACAGTCGGTAGGTAGGGAGAGAGAGAGGGGGTGTAGGTAAGTAGGTAGATGGATAGAGAGAGAGAAATAGAGAGAAATACAGTAGATAGGGAGAGGGAGAGAGAGAGTAGGTAGGTTGGTAGGTTGGTAGGTAGAGGGATAGAGAAAGAAATAGAGAGAGAGAAATACAGTGGATAGGTAGGTAGAGAGAGAAAGGGTAGGTAGGTAGGTAGTTAAAGGGATAGAGAGAGAGAGGGAGGGAGAGAAATACAGTAGGTAGGTAGGGAGAGAGAGAGAGAGTAGGTAGTATGTAGATGTTTCCAGGTGTATTTATCCATGTGCTGGAGAAGGAAATCGCTGACAATCTGCAGCACCTAGGACTTTGTCAAAAGGGGGGGGGGAGTTTTTGCACTCTGCAAACCTCCCAAAACCGACTTTTTTTTGTCAAAAAAATGCATGCATAGCCTTAGGGAGGCTTATAGAGTGCTGCTGGGGGCTGGGGAGGGGGAAAAGTGCCCTTTGTTTGCTCATTTCTGCCCTCCCCAGCCCCCCAAAACTCTCTGAAAGCCTCCATAAGGCTATGCACTGCCATTTTGGTGAAGGGGGCAGGGCTTCGGGAGGCAAAAAATGCTGTATTCAGTGTATAAGACACACCCAGATTTTCAGCCTATTTTTGGAGGAAAAAAGGTGCGTCTTATACTCCGAAAAATATGGTAGTTTGAACCAACAGCTTAATGGTCTGTTTGAATTTCTAAAGGATGACCTGGATTTGCCAATGGTCCAGAATTTCAAAGACATTCAGCTCCTGAAATTCAAGAAACGAGGGCTCTTAGATCCTTCTGCCCATTTGGAAGACACACAGCACCATACAGAAGAAGCATTGAAAGAGCTTTTCTGCCATGTTCATAATATGCCAGATTCCGCCAAGAAAAAGAAGCTTATTCAGCAGGTATGATTATGGCTCACCTGACAAAATAAGGATGATGGTAAAGCATCATATCATGAAAGAGCAAATGCAATGGAAAAGCTCCCAGGAAAGAAAGAGAGCCATCAAAGCAGTTTTGAAATAGCAATAGGCCATATTGTATGGTGGTTCCAAATAACAAAATTCACAACTTTATTAAAAGACCTGAAGGCATCACCTAAAATCAAATTGATCATATAGGATGAGCCTCCCAAGAAAGGCATTTCACAGCAACTTTTACATCCATCCAGTAAGCCATTTGGAAGTTATTTATCTTGGTCCTCTTGGCAGCAGATTTCAAAAGGAATAGTTTAGGCTCAAGTCAGGTAGATAACCATGTGTGGGAGAAAGCAATCTTTAGATATCCTTGTCTCAGTGAGATAGATTAAAGCATGGGGATCTTTGTAAAATTAGGTGTTGGGGCAAAAGGGCATGAGTGGAAAGTAGAACTGGGCTTTGGCATGGACACTGTACAACATCATGGAATTAACTCTGCTATTAAGTTTTGTTCTCCTAGTTTCAGAAGCACCCTGAAGCCCTTACTCCTCAGACAGCTATGTCCACACAGATTCAGAAACGTGCCAGAACTCGTTCCTTCAGTGGCTTAATCAAGGTAAAATCCATTCTACTGTCACCAAAATTTTCTGATGTAAAGGAAGGCATTGCATGAGATGTGTCTAAGATACCTTAGGGTGTCCAACATTTTGGGGCTTGCTTGGCCCATATTGAGTGAAAGAGGAACTGCATTGGGCCATATATAATATATAATAAATGTATATAAAGAACAAACTTCTTTTAAAATTTTACGATCTTGTAGGGTCGTATTACAAGCTCTCCAAGGTTGCATGCACAGCTTGTGGGGCACAACTTGGACACACCTGCCTTAGATGCTGCTCCATTAAGGCCACTTATGAAAGTTGAAAATATTTTCTTCCATCTCATTTTATTATGTATTTTCCTACGTCTTCTACGTCTTCATCAGAAATTATAGGATGTAATTTTAATAAGCTTTTCGTGGTGTAAGAGAGGCAGAATAAGATTGTTCATGCAGAAAGGAAATATATTGCTTGGTCAAATGTGGGATCCATAGTCAAAACATCTCTGCAGAAAATATAGGGAAAGTATAGGGGGAAACTCAGCTTTTCACCCAGAGAAACATACCTCTTATTATACTGGAAATTTCCAGGAATAAATATTGTTCCATTACTTTCCTGCTCTCTATCACAGTTCAAAATAATTTTCTTTTCCAAATGCAGCGTAAAGTGTTGGGAAATCAGGTGATTTTAGACAAAAAGAAAAATGATACTGTTACAGAACCTGCAGGCACTAAGGATTCAAAGCATGGCAGCAAGGAGAATATCAGCATGGTAAGGTTTGCTGGAAGAAGGGTTTCTTCTATATTAACCAATGGAATTTATTTGGCAAGGGGAAATTTGTTTAAAAGAACTACAGGAGGTCCTCATTTAGTGACCACAATTGAGATTGGCAACTCAGTCATTAAGCCAAACAGTCACTAAGCAAAACAGCAGTTGTGCTCATGATTGTACCTCAGCTTTTCTTCTTGTTTTACAAACCTATGAAAGTCATAAATGTGACAATTAGTTACAAAGTTACCTTTTCATCATAGTTGCAATATAAGGGAAAAAACAGACCCAATCCACTAAATTCCATTGAACAAAAACAAAAAGTGTTGTAGTTGTAGTTTTAAAGGGAACTTGCATTATGATACAAGAGTTGCCAAGTTCTTTAACTAGTTGACCACAGAGCAATTTTAAGTGAAATTTTGTGCATCAGATATGGTGGTACCTATGAATTGAATGGGGAGAATAATAATGCCTCAACTACAGTGTCTTCAATGGAAATTGTCCAATTGCTTTGTATTTGTGGTGTTCAGCCCCATATCAGTCATCATATTAATGTATCTGGTGTTTTACCAACCTTATAGGGCTGTTCCTTAATTATGTACCTCATCATTTAATGAAGGAACATTATATTCATTTGTTCTGTCCTCTTCTGCTCTGCCCTCCTGGATTCTGTTTTTCTCTCTCGTAGTTAAGACCTGTTTTCACTATTCCTAAATTATTAGATTTTAAATTTCTATATTATTTTATTAATATATTTAGAATTAGATATTTTTTTTCACAATAAAACAATTCCTAGAGTTATCCGCCAACACAGAAGTTTCTGGTTATGGTTTAATGTACTTCAAGATGCAAGTTTGGGGGATGTTACCATAGAATAAACTTCATGGTGCTTCCTCAGATGTTTTAATATCCCAGATGCTTGTTGGATTGATATAACCATAATTTGTTATGTTAAGCAATGCAATAACTAAATTAATGTCAAAAGCTTAGAACTGCTTTGACAACTGAGGGAACTAATAAATTGATTAAATAAGTTAATTTACATTAAGGTCAGGATAATTGAGGAGACTCTAAAACTCTTTTAGTTTTAAAGGTCATAGTGAAGTTCAAAGAGTTTCAGTTTGCATCTTGTTTAATTGCAGACACCAGCTTCCTCTCCAGCAATTAATTTGATAAGAGCTAAGCTGAAATCTCTTGAACACAGGAAAGAGGTGAGAATTTTAATATATGTAAAGGAGCTGTATATTTATAACAATATTGATCTTTTATAATGGCATGTTTTCTTCTTTGTCCTGAAGTCTGTGAACTTGTACCATACAACTAAAAGTTAAATGTTTATTATTACATTGGTGCTACTCCCCCCGCCCCCCCAGTGTATTTACAATAGGAAGTAAAAGCTAACTCATCAGTGTATTTTTATTATGTGTGTCTGTGGTCTCTTGAACCATGGGACAGATGATTAATTTTTTTCTTCTGATTTAGGATGCCTCTAAAAATACTTGATTTCATGGAACTTCAAGAATATTTCCCTTGAGCTGATGGTGTACAGTATATGTCTAACTTCACTTACTGGAGCTTACAGCTATGTGCCTTCCAGAATAACAAGATTTCCTCTTTCATAAGGACATTTCTGTCTGTTCCTTTGTTGATGCACTGGATGATATTATTTAGTTTTATTTTTGTTCCCAAATGTTCACTATTTTGACCACCGTTGAGGCTTGCTTTGCATCCTCTGTCTATGCTCATGTATACAAGGTTGTGTCTTTTTTTTTAACCTGGCAGTTGCCATTAACATCCACCACAGTTAATTCTTGTTTGCAGTTACACTCCTCTTGTTATCTTTGGAAATGGCAGTTCTGTGATGACCAGGATGGGAAGAAGAGTATTACATTTAACTATCTCCCACAGGTTGCTGGGGCCACTCTCACACCAATTTTTCAATCCCTGAACTATCTTGACACATTTAGATCAAGAGTGTAGAGAAATTGTGCTGTGCACACAATCTCCAGAAAATGTCTCACTAACAAAATGTAACAGGGCTCTTTATTTAAATTCTACTCAGTGTTCTGAATCAGTTACATCTTTCTCCTTTCACAGGACTAGTGATTCCATTGTTAAATGTAATTGTCCTGGGAATGCCATTCTTATTTTCTCCTCAGTGCTGTGAAAACATTTTGGATGAAGCTCTCCAGCACCACCGTTACATTTCCATTGTTTGCAATCCAGGCTCTGACTCACATTTTTCAGGCAGGGCCAAGGAGCTGACAGTTTAATGACTAACAATCTACTGGAAGAATACTAAAAGGCAGAAGAGCTCGTTAATGTGGAAGGCGGCTGACTTGCTCATTGGGAAGGCGGGAAGGTTGTCAAATTACTAAAAGAAATGTTTCCTTTTTCTTTTGTCAATAACAGACAAACACATGTGGGAGGAGGGTGCACTGATACAGCAGTATTGCTGTTTGAGGGGAAAAAAGACTACAGCAATATTGCAACTGCTTGAAACTGCTAAGTTTCTCCCTGCTCTTGAAGACTCAGAAATCAACACTGAGTTAGGTGAACATTTCTGCCATCTTTCCAGAAAACATTGCTGTCTGAAAGATTTGTAACATGAGTTTCATTCCCCCCCTCCAAAGAGAAGTCTATATGTTGTCTTTTGTTTCATGCTGAGGTTTTGTTTTTAAATTTCAGGCATTTTTTTAAAAAAAAACTGAAGTAATATGGAACAAAGCCTGGTTTGATTTTTTTTTAAGGATTGGGAGGCTATTTGGGTTCCTTAAATATAAGGACTGATATTTTCTTCCTCTTTTAAAGGAGTAGACTTCTAAATCAGATATATACAATATTATATAATATGTTCTCTAGCAGGATGCATATACCCACAAATCTACTTGTCAATAACTTGTCACAATGGTTGCTAACATTGTGAAGTCATAGGTTAGGCTGAGAGTATGCCAAGAGAACTGAGATAGGGAAAACAGTAGAGAGAAACACTCTTTAAGTTCTCATTCTTACCTTGATTTGGTCAGGTTTAACTACACTGAGAAGAATCTGACAGGAATATGTCCAAACTCCCATTCAAATCTTGAAAGTAAAGCTTTCTTCTGCACCATAGACAAATCACTCTCATATTTTATGTAATACCAAGCCATTATTTGGTATTGTGTTCTTGTACTTAACTATAATCCTTCTTATGCATTCTTTCCAAATGAGTGATTTACATTGTGGCAAACCATTTTTTTACTGCCATTCAAACTGACAAAGTCTAGTTGGTATCTTCCCCTCCATTTCAGAATTGCAAATTTTTGGAGGGAAAAAATGCAAACTGTTATTAGTTCAGATATAATTGTAAAGTGTATTCCTGTACAAGCCATGAAATAATTAAGCATGCTGTGCAGGAGGAATAAACGTGCAGTTTATTAGTTAGTGTGATATGTGAACTGCTCTACCACACGCAAGGAACTCACTATTTGAGATTGCCCCAAAAAGCATTGCCTAAATGCTTAAAATATTAAGCTCATTAGTAGTAATTCAGATCTTTGATTTTAAAGTTGGCAATTCTAGAACAAATCTAGAATAATTGCCTGCAAGAATTGTTACGTTTTATTCTAAAATTCATCTGTGCTGTGGAGAGCTTCCATTTACCAATGCAGTGTAATATTGTAAATACTTTTGTAATGTTGCCCTATCTGTTAATGTGAAATTTCTACATTAAATAATTCTTGGTGTTGGATCCTTGTTAACAAATTTCTCCATTTTTGTTTCTTCAGTTCTGGTTTGTAGCACCAAATGGGTGTCTGGGAGGTTTATAACATATTTACATTGAGTTTTAAAAGACTGTGTCTCTGGCACTGAATTCCAAACAGAAGATTTCTAAGTATAAAAAAGCCATTGTTTTTCCAGAGTAAAGTATGTTCAAGTTTCAGGAAAGATATATTCCAATGGAAGATATCTGTAACTGAGGCTTGAACTATGGAATTCTTAGTGCTCTGTGAGCTTGATTGTTTGTCTGGAGATATTTAATTACTTAACTAGGTAACATCAGTGCCACTCAGAGAGCATCTGAGAGTAACTTTGGGATTGTATATTACCTTATTTATGATAATTGTTTGTCAAATTGTACTATAGATTGCATTCATGTTCTTGAGAGTGCCCTGTCTCAATTGAATTTCAGAACTATGTTTTAAAAAATCTAATCAATTTTAGGTTAAAAAATTGGGTTGACTTTTTCTATTTGTTAATTGGCTCAAGAAAAAAAGGTGCAGTGTGTATGCCTCAGAAATGTGTTCGCTTCTTAAATATTTCATTGTGTTATCCTGATCTAATAAAATAATTTTTTTTTTTTACAAATGGTGAAGTGAGAGGAAGAGAATAACATAGACTCCATCGATATCTAATTTTTAATTAGAATGATCAGGATACCATTCCAGAAGAAAAAGACATTTTAAGAAGGAATTCATGAAGGATTTATGGCTAGTTTGACCAGCAAGAAACTATTCAAAGTGTCATGAAATACCTGAAATGCTTTTCCCCCCCAATGTTTGTAAAAAAGAAAGAACTTTTGAGTAAATAAAGCATGAAAGAGAAGGCAAAGAGCCCTTTGGGGGTCATAAAATTCAAAGCAGTAGAGAAAGGTATGCCAAAAATCATTCACATTTTCCAAGCAGAATGTTACTTGCAGTGCTTCAGATATGTTTTTGTTCACATGCATGTTTCTGATGTGGATCTGGAACAGAGGGGTAATAATTTCCTTTCTTCATTATTCATGTAAATCCCAGCCTGAAAGTTAACCGTGGCAATGAGAGTACGGGGTAGACATAAAGAAATGAAGTTGGCCAGCAACTCTGAAATAACTCCTTTAATTTTAAGAGTTAAAACATTTCCAAAAGTTTAAACAAAATTGCTCATCTAATTAATTAACATGTTCACTGCTCTTGGTTTTTTAAAATCAGTTTATGGGTTCTGTGGAGAAATACTTTTGCTGATGTTTTGGAGAGAAATGATATATTCACAACTTTACTCTTAAAGAATATTTTATTACTAAATGAAGGGCCCATGATTATCATTATTTGATGATTTATTGAAGTGAAATAGTATTTTATGATTGTATCTTAATGTACCTTTTGCAAAAGGTGAATGGAAGCAAAGCTTCCTTTAACGATTTGTAAAATATAGGAATGCTGTCAACTGAAAAAATGAAGAGTGAACAAAGGCAAAGAAAGTGAAAGAAAATTAAAAAGCAAAACATTCAAAAGCTGGTATAACAACATTAAATCCAAAGAACTGGATGATTTATAGAATGAGATCAGTGATAGGGAAGAGGAGATGATATAAATTTTAAGGACTGAAAATAAATAGTTATTAGTTAAATAACCATTTATATAAATGGCTGTTAGTTAAGCAAATAGATATTGTTGAAAAGTTTGACTCCTTAGCTTAATCATGGCTATAGGGTTTTGAGGTAAGGAAATATTAGGTTTCTTTTGCAGAGTTGACTTGTTTTTCTTGGGAAGATATATTCTTTTGGTCATAGGAAATGATTGTAGATCAAATGTCTTCCTTTTCCTAGAAAAAAAAGATGACTTCTCCATAACTACCTTTTGCAGTCTGAATTCTGATTACTTTACCATGCAAGCCACCATTCTGTATACTGTTTTACTTGATGTTTAGACTGTCTATAAAGCAGTTTGAATTACCCAAAATGGGCCATTTGCTGATTTCATATATAAAACTACAATAAAATTATCTTTGGAACCACAAGGGGGAGTTAGTTGTACATCCTTGTTTTAAACCATGTTTAAACAGGAGCCCCAGACTCCTGTTTTCATGCACTTGGCAAGCAAAGAGAAATTGTGAGAGTGACTACTGTCTCTTGAAAAATTATTGCAAGAAATATTAACCTATTCTGGTTTTGATAAGAGCCAATCTGTCCCTGTACAGGGTGAGTCCTGAGATTTAAAAACTTTACTGTCTTCAGTTATTCATTTTTATAAACTGAATAGGCCCAAATTCTTTACCTAAATAAAAACTATTCCACAAATCAACATTGTCACAGGCTATATGCAGAAACTAGTCAGTGGCAAATCAGGATCAGAACTCACTTCATTCTAAATATAAAAAGACAACTTCTTGGCACTTCCTTGAATTAAGAAAGATGGAGCTATTGTATCTCCACCACTTCTTTAGCTAAAAGAAGAATTTGATGGTCTATGCAAAAGAAAGTTAAATAGAATGAAGAATCGTAGTGAATAGTTCTTCCTGGTGCACATCTTTAGAAATCTTTTTAGCTATTCTAGAAGCTAAAGCAGTCAGGAGAAGCCCTTGGGAATCTAAATACTCTTTAACTAGGATGTGTTCATTGTAGTAAAACTGCAGTGCTTGACACTGGAGAATTATGTGAGGAATACTTGGCAATAGCAATGGAAAGTTAGCCTAGTAAGCAGTAAATTATCCTCGCTTCTTAGCAAAGGTTAATGATTTTCACAAAATGAGAATGAAAGAAAGAATTGTTAATATGATCAATGCTATCGAGAAGAATAACCAAATGTTCACAAATTTGTCAAATGTCTAGATGTAACCTGACCTATTTTTGTGCATACCACGCCTTGAGGGTGGGCTCATCTTGCAGTCTGTGTAGGAACCTTAGAACTTTAAACAATAATCTCAAGTTGGTACACCTGCCAACAAATATTTGTGTGGTAAAAATCATTTTTCTGATTCTAAAAAACAAACAGATATATTTAAGTTTAAGAAGAAATGTTTCTCTTATACATTCTGAAAGCCGGCCTCAATTAATTATCAAAATAACCCATGAAAATCTCTGGTCAGATGACATAAAATATGGAAGAAGGCAAGCTATGATAAAAGTGGCCCTACATTGTAGTAGATATGTTTGGTATTGTGTATTTTAAAAATCTGAAACTTATAGTTAGAGGGAAGAAGTGTATGCATTATCATTAAATACATGACCAAGCTAAAAATGGTGGGCATGTAAATAAGTAGCAAATTGAGCAAGTCAAACCGTTCTTGACTAATATTCTCAGGCAATTCATTTCTGGTTCAATTATCACAATTCTCTTCCTCTTTACAAAGAATGTCTGAAACAATCTCGACAGCATTCAGGACAGCTCTTACAGTTTTACAAACAAGTAAACATAGCCCCTACCATACACAGAATTAGCCATCTTTTTCTTCTTATAGAAGACAAAGAAACAGTTCATTGCTCACAAATTGCTCTGCAGTTTCCAAGCTTATTCAATAAACATTGTTCTGATTCCTTCAGCTTTAAAAATAAAAAATAAAAAACTTTGGCTATAATTATCACCTGTTTCAATATCAAAAAAAAATTGAGAACTAAATCCGAATATAATTTGGACAAGAAAATTTGGTCCAAGCATATGAAGAGTTTAGGAATAATAATAATATGGAAAATAAAGGATAAATAAAATAATATAAATGTAAATGTAAATATCTGTCTAAAATCTGGAGATGGGAAGAGATAATTACTGTTATTGAAATACGAGGTAAGGTACAACAGAAGCTGTGATACATATACATCCATCACAAGCTGGGCATATACAAAAAAAGATGGGAGAATCTCTACTCAGGCTATGTGCTCTGCCATAGAATTCCAGGTGAAGGCTAAGCCACATAAACATGGTGCACTGTTGCATACCTGGAAATGCTCAGCTTTTCCCTTCTCCAATCACCAACTTTCTTCAAGAAGAGGGTCCTGTAGTACCAAAGCATATTATAGAAACATCCCCATGGTCAGGAAGGCATTACTACAGTATTGCTTCAAGCAAGACTTTGTTGAGATACTCTTCATTGAACACAGTAATTCATCATTTAGTAAAACTGTTAAGAACATGGATAAGTACCTTGTCTACCATCCCACAGGTTGGAGAAGGAAGGCATGTTAGGTGCCTTCACCACAGATGTGATAACGTTTAGAAATCTTTTTGCTCTAGTTGCATGCCGGAAACAAAAGACATCAATATTATTATTGTAATAGGGTTCAAAGGGGGATGTACATGTTGAAGGGTATGCAGCAGGGAAGATGGAAATTACATTCTCCAGTTTGCAGGACTTGAGATGATTTCCTTGGAAAGAATT